GTTCCCACATGAGAAATGTATTTAACACTTTCTTTTCTCTTTTCCGGCCGTTATCCATGTAATGGTGTTACACCACAATTTGAAGTCAAGGCATTCTTAACGTACAGTATTGCTATACAACAAATTAGAGATATTTGTTTGGCATATCTCTCCCTGGAGACCAATTAAGCTGGCTTGTTATGGCCGCAAGATAATACGATATTCCTCAGTACGCTACAGTTAAACCCCTCCCCATCCACAGCTTAATGGGGAAGGGTCTCCAAGTATATAACAGTTTGTAACACTACGCTTGACTATAGGTAGTTTGGGACAGAGCGTAGAGAAAAGAACTAAACGTCTGACGTCAAGTTTCTGCAAAAGCTTAACAGTCTGTTTTTAATCTGTAGCAGATAATGGCGCTACGCTAATGCATAATGCATGAGCGTCAAATTTCTGGAACACTTGCTCCATAATTTGGGGCCTTTGAATAGAACATCGTTAATTGTCAGTGTAGAGGATGAAAGTCGGAGCGAAGTACACTAACACTTGTTGTTGTGGTAACCAGGACTGAGTTTTCAGGTTCATTGCTTTGCTAGAAATTTCGAGAAACGCGCTTTTCAGCATTAAGCCAAAATGATATTTAAAACATGGAATAATACTCCGTAGCATGTTGATATGTGTGCAACTGAACTCCTCAGTAGCTAAAATTTCCTGTATGACACCGTTCATTGGTCCAAGATACCCAACGGACCGCTTAAGCATGCTTGGAGGTGTTCTGACCTTACTACCCTGCGGCCTTGAAACCGTAATTTTATACAGCCTGTAAGTAAAGAGGTACAACTTTCTGTGTTAGCAACAGAATCCTGCTAGGTGCAACCGCCACAGCTGTGGCTCAGTTACTATGATGTAGTTTGTTTAATGGACCCCCCCCCGTTTAAGAGCAGTGGGCTCCGAGGTACACCATAAAGTTTGCGCTTTGGAGAAATAGGTGATTCCTAAAGTATGGTCGTGCATGAACCGATATACTGATGTTTTAGGAAAGCATATAATTATTACCTATTCGTAAAACACCACCAATGATAAGCAAGGTATTGCTCTAGCAATGAAATGATGCAGGGTGCGTCTTACATTGCAAGTGCTCAGGTGCATCAAAACTTGGACTGCCGAAATCACCTCCAAGGTATCTAGGAGCAGTGGAAAAATACTATACCTTTTCTTCAGCAATTTGTTTAAATGACAATGTAGCACAGTCTGACTATAAGGCAAAAATTAGATTATACTCGAAAAGACATGAATTGAGCTTCACGTGCTAAGCGAAAATACGAAGCCACAACAAAAGGATACTCTAAACATTACGGGGTACATCTCTACTGGCATATAAAAATCTGAGAAATCACATTTATGACCAGAGATATGTACATAGATACTGATGTGGTTCAGAACAGGTTTAATTGCTGAGATATAATAGATGAAAGATACTCAGAAGGCCACTGAAGTGTAGCGTAGCAAAAGTATTAGCACAGTTAAAAGAGCCAGCACAGATAATCACAAGCTGCATCTAAACTAACGATGTTACTCATGTTGAAATTTAACAGAGAACCAGAAAGAAAACATCGAAGAACTAAATCAGAACAAAATAAGCAACGCAATATAGTTACCACAGTCTAAATGTGCGAAGGTTGTGTTGTCTGCAGATCTCGGGAACTTTGACAATTCGCGTTGATTTTGCATTGACACCTACGGTACAGCTCGGTTGATGCAGTGCCATGTTGAAAGCTGGGGGAGAGAACATTTGATTAGAATCGCTCTGCACATGATGAGGCTGCTACTACGAATATTATTATCCCCTATTAAGCCGACAAAAGTAATTCGATAGTGACTGCAAATTAGGTCATTCATAGCCAAAAGTTTCGACATAAGGTCTGTTTCTTGACTGAAAGTTTGCATGCAGCACTTAGAAAACAATGCGTAACTGCATAGCGGTAAGAAGTTTGAATCTGACACGACTGAATGACTTGGAAGCGTGGTGTCAAGATTTTCATCTTGAAGTCTCTTCGCGAAGTACGAGGCGATGCAACGTTCCATAATCAATCATCGACGTGCAGATATGAGAGGGTGATCTCAAAGTACGGTATAAAGATCGATCTGTGAGCTATTTAAACGAAATTGAGGACATTTTTAAACAAAGGCATGAGAGGACAAAGCATCACGAGAATAGAAACAAAAGTAAGTATTTAAATTTATCGCAGTGCCACAGTTAACAGAGTCAACGCGTATCTCAATATACGGAAATTTCGTTATAATAGTTTTTAAATTTAATAATAGCAACAAAATCTTTTGCTTAATAGCAACAGAAAATGCCTGACGCTAGAAAGCAGTTTACAATGAATTGATTCATCCGTCTCCGTGAAGATAGAAGGGAAATGCGGCAGCATTATTATTACTGAAAATTTTGATTTCGCAGTACAGAGTAAATAATATTACAATCATTGGTGGTATCATAATTAGGATTGTAAATATATTGTCAATTAATACTCATTTATTTAACTTTGAAAGCTGCTCTCGATTCTGACCTTGAAGGGAACTGAACCTTGCGTTTTTGGATTTTCATAGCCCGATGCCAATTGCCATAAAACCCGCTAAACAACTCAACCGTTCACTGACGCGTTTCGCTGCTGACAACCTGTAACATCCTCAGGGTGACAATTATTTATAAATACTCATCTACTTTCGCAATATGAACGTGATCTGTTCAGTATTTCAGTCTGTGATCTTCTGAATATGAGTCGAGTCCATGGGTCTACGAACAAATCTACCAGAACGCCGTCTTCAAAACCTGACATTCTGTGACAAATCGGTAAAAATCACTGCCATGGATCATGTCAAGTTTATTGCGAAAAGACGCGAACAATTCTAAATAGCATATTTACATATACCATCGTAAAAAAACATTGGCTCATAAACTCAGACATTGAGGACAAATGCAGCAACATGTGCATATCGCAACAGAGGAGATTAACCAAACGGCTATTGTGTTCATAGTACCACGCCGGCAGATAACAAAGGAATGTGAAAAGTGAAAATGAATTTTCAGACCGTCCACTCCAAGTGAGCAATTCATCCAGACGGGATATCAATAACCTTGGCAGCATTTAGGCAGTTACAGCTTCAGGCAGCCTTCGACGATGGCTACAACAGCAATAAGGCTGCACTTTTCATATGAAGGCACAAAGAGTCTTCAGCTGTACGACAGTGAAAATGCTCTCCGCAGCGTCTCAGGTGAAACATCGTTAAAGGTGCTCGCTTTCAGTGTTAGGACTGGCGTCGCCGCTTCTTATGCTTGTGGTCGTGGTGATGATGGCGGCCGTGATGTTCTTTGACATCGGATGTGTGGTGACGGTGTTTGTGATGCTTTTTTGCTTTCCTACGATAAACCACACTACCGTTAATTTATAATTAATTAATCGATAAATCTCGGTTTCCGTAACTTACTTCTCGTGTTCCGTCGCTTTTAATTTCTTGTGTTTCCGCTTCTTTACTTTCTTCACTAAAAGTCGCAGTTTATTGAACAATATTCTTAGTGGAAAAAGAAGGGCTCTTCTAAATTTTACATAACCATCAATTAATGTTTAATAATAATGCAAAATCCATCATGGCTGTCAACGACGTTAGACCTAAATGATGTCACCGTGTACATTATTTCGACTA